GGGGCGCGGGGGGAACGTCCCGCCCGGAGGCCCGCGGAGGCCCCGGAAGAGGACGGCGAGCTGGGCCCAGCGGGCCTGGGAGGGGACCCCGAAGGGGGGGCCCGCGGCCTCTGGTTCCCTGGCTCCCGGGGGTGGGGGGGGGGGCTGCAGACTCTGGGTCTCCCACCCGCGGAGAAGGGCGAGGTGGCCGCCCCGCCGCCGCAGGGACTCCCGGCCGCGATTGCGCCCCCGACGTCCAGGGCGGACTTGGCGCCAACAAGGGGTCCAGCTGGGCCTGCCTCCCCCCTCCCCCCACCGAGGAAAGCCAGGTGCTTCGGCCCGGGGCCTGGGGTGTGACGCTTGGGCGTTCCGCCTCCCCTTGGGGTCCTGGGCTCCGAGCTGGGCTTGCAGGGCAGCCTGGGGAACATGCAACTTCGCTCATGCCTTTCTCCTGCCCCTCTATTTCGGAGTTTAACCCGGAGTTTTCCTTTCTGGACCCGGGGGAGCACTGAATGGCCCCGGACGTCGGCTCTGGGACTGGGAAGCGGTGCCTTTGGCGGCCCTGACAGTGCCTGGCAGCTCATTCCGGTTACCTGCAGGGCCCGGGCCGCAGCCACGGACCCGCCCCGCTTAACCGGAAGGGGCGCTCGGCCGGCCAGCCCTGGCACGCACACCGCGTGTTCGAACCCGCATCCGACGTGACAGCTTTGCTGTGTTACCCAGACAAAGCTGTAACCCAAAACCAGGCATGCCCGTGTTAGGTGCTGGTTTACTGCACACAAAGACGTGTGTTAATTATTGCAAAAGAGAAATACACAAATGCCAGGCAGGAGACAGGCGCATCCCAGCCTCCCACACAAATGGAAGCTGAAGTCCCAGCAAACAACCAGAATGGGAAGATGTGAGGTGGGGCTTAGCCATGACCTCAGACTGCTTCTTGCCTTGCTTTGAAACCTTTCTGAAGAACAGCTCTCTCTCTCTCTCTCTCTCTCTCTCTCTCTCTCTCTCTCTCTCTCTCCAAAAGGGTCCAAACCCCAGACACGTATCTGCATGCTTAGGTCTGCGACCAGTGCCTTGAATATCTGTTTTCTCCTCAATGGCCAGCGCCCTATAAGGGAAGCGTGCCCAGATAACACCTGATCCCTTAGTTGCCCCGTTTCTGCCCTTGGGTCAGCATGCTAGGAAAGATGGGGAGCCCCTGGGACTGTCCCCTGGGATGGAGAGAGGAAAGCCCACAAACAAAAGTCACTCTGATGTTTTTCTGTATTAGGCTCTGAAACTGCACAGATTATGGGATTTGTCTCGGACAGAATTAACATTACATGTGAGACCCCAGTGCTCTGCGGTATTGGACACATTGTATTGGCTTGCTCGGAGCATCTCTTCCAAACTGCCTGTTAATAGCACCATAAAACCTTAAAGTAATATGCAGGTTTTTGTTTTAAACCCAATTGAAACAAAATTTAGGCATTATTTAGAAAGGGCAGCTTGTCTGGTAGAAGCCGTTCAAGGGAAGCGGAACCCAGTTGGAAGGAAATGGAACCCAGTCGAGGAACTGGAGGAAGCTTCGGCTGCAAGTGGCTGGAGAGGAGAAGGGAGCAGCAGTCCCTACAGGGAAGGGAGCTGCCCCCAGTTCTAAAGAGAACCAGCCGGACTGCCTCTCTTGCAAGCAGTGTCTTTTATATTTCAAAACCAACCGGCTCTTGTCAGCAAATTCAGATAAAGGAGTCC